TTAACATTAAAATTTTTTCGTGTCATATACACTTCAAGAGTAAGAATAAACCCTCTTAGGTTTAGTGTAGAGTTTTCCCATTTCAGAAGACGTGTCATTCTTTTGAGATTAGATTCTCATGCTACTTCAGGCAATGTTGTCCCATTTCAGACCATTCCCTTTACCATTCCCTAGAGTATTATTTCTTTGTAAGACAGTTGTGAATGAGAAAGCACATGAATATGGATACAACTCTAACAAAGAACTTATTCTCCATGGAATGACACGTGGTCTGAAATGGAAAACCGCAATAATATAATACCAATATGCTTACGACAAAGGGATATATAAAAGAGAGTAAAAGAAATGAATGCGTTGCAATAAATATAAAATCGAATATGTATCAGGTTTTGTATGGGAGAATGCACTAGATTGTTATCTCTTGTATCACTCAAGGTATTCTTTCTATACTATTCCTGCATCAATTTCGAGCCCAGAGTTTCACGCCTTTTTGGTCAGCGGGCTGCCATAAAGTATAGCGCCGTTTTTAGTAGCCGTAGGGTCACGTGACTCACTTTCAAGTGAGATATATTAGAGTGCACGCCATATATCCGTGAAACAAAATCGGCAAAGCTGTAACATATAATCGTACGAATCTTGAATATTACTGGAGTAGAACATTGGAAATTCACATTATATAAGTTTGATCGAGAGAGAGCCACCAGTGTATAAACCCTTATTTTCGGCTCAGAATTAACGCCTGTGATTGGCTCATAACATTTGAAGGACGGCGAAAATAGCACTTTTTTGGAATCGACGTCTGGCTCCTGAATACAAGGGTTCACACTGGAATGCAAACATCTCTGACAGAAAAATTCATTTTCTTCTCTTTTACGACTTGTAGGACTCGCATTATTTCTTGCCGATTTGGTACAAGGATAAGGGAAATTACAAGCCATATATCTTGCACTTTCGTCTACAAGTGAGTGAAAAATAACGCACAGAATTTGTTTTTTTTTTTAATTCTACGCCTTCTTTAGCGATCAAAACCATAAACGGAAAGAGAGCGTGCGCGCAAGTCGATGACACACGGGAGTAGGGTAAGGCCAAATTTAAACTGCATTCGGTTCCTAAAAATAGCCCAAACCGGGAATTTACATGGCGCGCGCGTTATTAAGAAGTTTCCCTCTCTTATTTATGCTCTCTTGCTATGACTTATAGTCTACTTGTAGCTCATCCATTCAGAACGCAGCATTGGTGATACACCGCTAGTTGGATTTGACTAATTCAAATTAGGACAAATCGCAGAAAGGATATTTTAATTATTCATCTGTGAGATGGGAAACGATATCCAGTGGTATCATACCAAAAAAAGAAGAAGAAAAAAGAAAAAAAAAGAGAGAGAATCAATAACAAAGAGGTCAAGCATTTCTAAAAAAAAGAAAAAAAGTGGCTCACGCACGCGGGCTCACATACAGATATTAGTCGATCTCATCATTTAAAAAAATACATCACTATGGAAACGAATATTAAGATGAAACAATGAAAATATACAGAGGATATTACGTAACCGCGATGAGTAAAAAGTCCACTAACTTTGTATTTCATCGATAATTATATATTAAACATAACATCGCATGGCCGCTTGGAGATGAGGATTTTATTTCTCGTGTGGAAAAATTCCGTATCACTGCACGGCCATGTAACATTCTGTTTAATATTTGAACACCGATGAAATACAAATTTAATGGATTTTTTATTTATTTGACATGTGATCCCTAGGAATTCTTACCAATTCGGCAATTGTGTTATTTTCGCATGTTTTAGAAATAGAGAAAAGTAGATATATCATCGATGATTATATATACGAATACGTTTATTTATGCGGTGTGATGGTTGTTTGCTTGTGTGCTGCTTGAATTGCGTGGTTTCCATGAATACAAAAGAAAACTTGATGAATTCTTAAAATGAAGGATAAAAAGAAAGAAAAAAGATGTAAACAACTCAAGCAATGAAGTTCTTTTAAACTCCATCTAACTTTTTTTAACATGATGATGGTGGAATTTATTGCTCTTTGATGGCGGGCCGCTTACGTAAGTCGTGTTTCCATAGTTAATGTTTTTTTAAATGAAGTATCAAAAGGAGAGAAAATGTAAACAGTTCAAGCAATATATTTTTTAAACCCCATCTAATTCTTATTTATAATGATAGCGGAATTTTGATGGGGAAAATATGGTTTTCAAAAACGCCGGGCTGGCGTCCATTTTCTCAAACCAGCTCCAACCAGAAACCGTTTCTAGGGAGAAGACCGCTATGGGCGAGAATCTCAATCAACAGGATCGCTTTTCTCGCGATTTTTACTTAATTTTAATTCGAATTGAAAAATAGGAGAATCGTGATTGCTAATGTTTAAAGAATCATGAAAAGAAAAACTTATAACAAAGTTCGATTCTAATTACGAATTTTAAAAAATTTTCTTAAACCTAAATATGAAACATTAAAGAAAAATTGAACGAACATGCATACTTTTTGATTTTTTGTTTTTGTTTTGCTTTGCTATAATAGTTGTCTAATTCATTTGTAATTCGTCATCATTAGCCGTATGCGTGCCCAAGAAAACCAATTCCAGCCTCCTTGATAATCACCTCCAGCAATAATTTAAAATGGCGGCCAGCCGCTTTGTTGTTTTAAATGTGTCTTTATCTTCTTTTTTTCTTTCTTTTTTTTGAAAGAATCACATGTGTATTTATACTAAAACAATTATTTGCCTCAGGCTCAGTGAATATCGGGAGTAATAACCTCAAC